GGTTTAGGGTTTAGGGATTTGGTTTTAGGGTTTAGGGTTTAGGGTTTAGGGTTTAGGGATTTTGGAAAGGGGTTTTAGTCTGGTTTTCAGAGCTTTTGTATAAGGGAGTTTCGTGTATGGTGATATTGGATTATAGATTGTTCTTGACATGCTTGTTGGCTTTATGAGGCTGTGTTACTAAGGGATGCAATGGGGCTTTGTAATCGGGGTTTCAGGTTTGGATTGGGTGTTGAGCTTTAGAGTTTTGTCTTTTTTAGGGTTGTAAAGGGCTCTTCACGGGTTCAGGGTTCAGGGCTTAGGGTTCTAAGGTTATTTAAGGCTTCAGGGCTTAGGCTTCTATGAAGAGGTCAGAGAGCTTTCCATAATTGGGTACTCAGCGACTCCAACACAAGCAAGTTTAGCAGTGAGGGGAGCTATAATGTAGGGGCCTGAATAATTAGAATAATTCGAACAGGGTTTCGGGGCCCATTATACTATACCTATAGTAAGGAACCCCACAATATCCCACAATAGTATTGGTCATTCTTTAGGCCCCTACAGTACCTTATGTAATGTTGAGGATCCCTCCGTCTGCGTCGCAGCATGGAGGGTTTTTGGAGGCTCTGGGCTTAGTGCTGACGGCTCTTTGGGGTTTAGGGGTTTAGGGTTTAGGGTTTAGGGTTTAGGGGTTTAGGGTTTAGGGTTTAGGGTTTAGGGTTCTTCGGTTCTGCAGCCGAGGGCCCTAAAGCCTCAACCCTAAACACGGGTTTGGGTTTCAGAAATTAGGGAACGCTCCCTCGGCTTCTTAAGCTGCTGCATCTAGGGCTTGCTTGCTTCCGAAAGGGCTGAATGTTACCCTAAACCCTAAACCCCACACCCTACCCCGAACAGCACCTTCCGAAGCTACCTTCTAAAAAGAAGGTAGCGTACACAGGAGGTCTTGCTGTATTCCATATTCGTACTAGCTAGCGCGGCCACAACTTGATGTTGAAGATTTCCCCAACCCAAACGCAAAATACAAGCAGACTTTCTTGCAGCAGCACAAGATGCTTGGCTTTTTGCGTGGAGTTCGTTCGGCCTAGGGTCCGGGATCGTTTTTTAAAGTTAGGTCAGGGTTTAGGGTCTGGGGCTTTAGGGTTTAGTATTTACGTGTTTAGGGGTTCAGGGTTTAGGGGGTTTGGAATTAAGGTTAGCCCTAAACCCTAAACCCTAAACCCTAAACTTCTGAGCTACCCTTGGCCACCTCGTTCCAGCTGGTCAGAAGCGCAGGGAGCTCGGACAGCGAAGCGATGCTGGCATCCGGCGCAGCAGACGTAGCCTGGCTAAGGTTGGTGTTGAGGTTTGGGTTTAGGGTTTAGGGTTTAGGGTTTAGGGTTTAGGGTTTAGGGTAGTATAAAAGTAGGACTCGGAACAGATGGGGGGTCCAGTTCGACAGATTTTTGGTCCATGTAGACCAGTGGGTAAATAAAACCCCTTGCCTTGGCGCTTCGCCGTTTGGAGAATTCAGGGGAGTTGTGATTTAGTGTTTAAGGATTAAGGTCTAGCCTACCGCACCTTGACATAGGGGCTGCGGCATCGGTAACTGGAGCTACACTTGCCTTTCTTTCTAAACCTACTTACCAAGTTCCCGAAGCCTTTAAACAACTCGGACCCCAAACCCCACAGCAGAAAGGGACAGGACCCCTAAGCCCTAAACCCGAACCCCTAAGCTTAGGGCTTGACCAAAGACCGCTGCACCCAAATCTGGCATCACGGCGCCCAACGTGAGGGTTTCTTGCAGTCAGCAACTCCTTTTCGGATCTTAGCATTTGATATATGAAACTTGATGTCCTTCATATAAGGATCCCTTTACTCTGAATCTGCCAATCCTGAGGGTTCAGACGGTTTGGGGGCTTAACCCAGGGATGCAGAAGCAGAGCTTAGGCTTAGGCGGCCAAGGCCTTGCCGTATATAACCCTTCCTTAAGCTACCAAAACCTACTTTTTTGTAGGGCCCCTATAAATTCTATATTAGGGTTCCTATAAAATAGTAGGTTGTGGTAGTTCAAGGTTTCGAATATTCTAACCTACGTTTTCAGGGTTCCTCATCCTGATTCCCTTGGACAGGGCCTTAAAACAGGCAGGCTGGTTGTGAGTAAGGTACTTGGAGGATCATGGGACTTAGTAACTAGGGTTATAAAAACGGTAACTATACTTATAACACCAATTAGGATACTTATAACCTTACTTACTAAGTCTCATGATCCTCCAGGTATGGTTTAGGGTTGATGCTTGAGGGAACCCTAGCTCAGGATGCACAAGTTGGGATTCAGGGCGGCCGAGGGCTGTGCGGTTTTTACAATTTCGGGTTTAGGGTTTAGGGTTCAGTTTAAGGTCAGGGTCAAAGTGATCTCTACACCCCACATGAACAACTATTAGTACATACTGCTATATACAGCATATGATGTACAACTACAATGCTCATAACAGAACACACACACACAGACATATGTCACATATGTGATCCTTATGTCTGCGTGCTCCTTTGGGACCTTAACAGTGTCAAGCTTCAGTGGTCAGGGTATTGTGTTTGCAGTCCTGATGAAAATCACAGCAGGGCTTTGGGGGTTCTGTGCTATGAGTATATGTATACATATATGGAAGCATGACCGAAAGATTGGAATATACCAATCCCATTTACCGGCCCGAAAAACTTAAACCCCATTACGAAGAACAAGATCTTGTAAAACACTAGGGCTTTGAGGCCGACCTTAAGAACCCCAAACCCACTTTTTTGTAGGTTCTTGTTATAAACCCTAATATGGGACTTATAGGGACCCTAAAAAAAAAGTACATTTTGGGTTCTTAAGGGAGGGGCCGTTTCAGGCTTTGGGAATGATTCGGAAAGCCTGCGCATCATCCTTGACGGTGCCCCGGCGCAGGTGCACGGCCCTTGGCCGTCGCTTGCTTGGTCCAGCATCCTACTGGAACTAAAGGTAAACCTCTGGGAATATTAGGGTTTAGGGTTTTAGGGATCATCGCACGTTTGGGTTAAAAAGCTGCCTACTCTACGTATTCAGGTCGTGCCATGTTACGGTTCAGGGCTTTGGGTGTAGGGCCTCGGATTATAGGCCAACTCTTCTGCAGAACATTCCCTCGCCCCCTAGAACCTGAACGCTAAAACCTAACGACACTGACTGAGGATGTTTGGAGACCCCACTGTATTTCGTCAGCACAGCATGCTTTAAAGTGTTGCTCTGGTGCTTCGCGATTCACTGTCGCGTCGTCGTCAGGTTTATCCTAATAAGGCCCATATTGTTGTCATACTTGGGGACTTGGAAGATCGTGGGGGATCCAGTCAGTACGGAATTATGCTTAAATGATTAAAGGGCTTCGTGTTTAGGGCGATTATGGCTCTGACTATTGAACTATTGTAAACCCGATTATGGCACTCATACACTTAATACTTCCCCTGCTCCTGTATGTATCGTCATAAAATAAACACCGAGCCCATAATGTCAGAACTCCTACGCTCGGTCGTTGGAGCAAGCTTCAGGATATCCGTCAGGAAATCCTCGAATCTCAACTTCTTCAGAGCTTGGGACTTAAGTCTTGAAAATGTGCTGCTCCTGCTCTAGTCGCTGCGCCATCGCTGCGGCTCGAAGCACCTTAGCAATGTCCTTTCCACTGGCACTGTTCCTTCGCCCTCCAGCCTCTACCCTGAACCATAAACCCTACACCCTATACCCTAAACCCTAAACCCTATACCCTAAACCCTAAACCCTATACCCTAAACCCTAAACCCCGGTGTAAGAGTGCTTTAGCCTCTCCGGGGCATCGGCATACGAAAATAAACGGTACAAACCTTACCAGATACCCTGCGACCCTCTGCAAAGCACCTAAGGAACCCTGCTAGAAGCCGTCGATAGCACCCCAAACCCAAATAAACCCTAAACCCTAAACCCGAAATCCATAAACCCTAAACCCTACAGACCTCAAACTCACATAAACCGCAACAACCCTGAACTCTGATAACCCTAAACCCTATAGACCTCAAACTCACATAAACCGCAAAAACTAAAACCCTGAGCTCTGATGACCAGCCAGAGAGCTTCATCCCCATCCTCTTCGCCCCAAGGACGTCATCTGCAAGGGAATCGCCGACGTGAAGGACCTGTAGGTGGGAGGTTCTGTTGGGGTTAGGGTTTAGGGTTTAGCTTTAGGCTCTAGGCTCTAGGCTTTAGGCTTTAGGCTTTAGGCTTTAGGCTTTAGGGTTTAGGGTTTAGGAGACATCTGCCTGAACCGAGACAGCTGAATTCAAAACAGTCCGACCCTGCGCACAAGTGTAGGACACTTGCCTAAGACCCCATCCCTATGTCCCTACGGCTCAAAACCGCCTAGAACTCTATGAAGTAGTCCTAAACCCTAAACCCTAAACCCAGGTAGTGCCTGTTTCTTTGAACCCGTCAGGTCTTAAACACAACCGGAAAGCTCGATGTTGAAGCTTTCCGGTCGTTCACACAAGCACAAGCTCTGTCCTTCATTAACTGTGCAGTACTTGGAGGATCATGGAACTTAGTAACTAGGGTTATAAATAAGGTAACTACAGTTATAACCCCAATTAGGGCACTTATAACCTTACTTTTTTCTAAGTCCCATGATCCTCCAAGTAATGGCTTCGGGTTTAGGGTTTAGGGAGTTTACGGTGTAGGGTTTCATCACCATCTCACATTCGGTTTCGGAGCAACACAAACTGACCAACCCTGCTCCAGGAAGCTTAAAGTGCTGAAGCTCCGCAACCTATACCTTAAGAACCCCAAAACCCCACTTTTTTGTAGGTTCTTATAATAAACCCTAATATGGGATTTATAGGGACCCTTAAAAAAGAGTAGGTTTTGGGTTCTTAAGGTAAAGTCTCAAGCCTCCAAAGTCCAGACCCCTCCAACTTGTACCCTACATCCTAAACCAACGAAGCTGTCCGGAAACGCCAAACTAGACCTACAAACCTAAAAGCTAACTCAGTCCATCCATTGTTCCCTAAGAGCCTCAAGAAAACCCCCAAAGCTCCGTTACTAAACCTTAGACTCCTAAACCCCAACCCCTACACTCAACCCCACCTAAACTCGAAAACAAAAGCACTAAACATAGATTCCTGCTAACATAAACTCATAACATCCACCGAGCAAAAACCGCACAACTTCACACAACAAACTGAAACACCACAATAAAGCACAAATGAAACACCCACCACTCCACCCACTCACCCACCCGCCCGCCCGCCCGCCCGCCCGCCCGCCCGCCCGCCCACCCACCAACTTACCCACCTACCCACCCACACACGCACACAGACAAAGACAATTAACATAAACTTTGCAAACATAAACAACAGACCTATACTGAACTCAGACCCCTGGCAAAAAATATAATTTTAGCCGCTTCTTAGGGTTTATAGTAGCCAAAGATTAAAAATTACTTCTAAGTACCCCTAAGAGACCTAGACTAACGCCCTGGCCTGACAGGGCCATGTGCCCGCAGCCGCGGCCGAGGCCAGGAACGGGGCAGCTCGGGGCTTTGGCGCCCCAGCGTTGGCCGAAGAGATCTCGGGAAAAAGCCGCGGTTGGGGGTTTTAAAGGGTTTAGGGCTATAGGATCTATGGTTGATAGGATTTACTCCAGTTACTGTTTAGGGTCAGCATTTAGGATTAGGGGTTATAGTGTTTTAGGGTTCAGGGTGTTGGATTAGGGTTTGGATGTTAGGGTTTACGATGTGTGTGTGTGTGTGTGTGAGGGGGGATGTTCTTGATACTTTTCTTTGTTGACCGCACTGTGGCGTTCTTGGAGTTGAAGGCTTTGGGTTTAGGATTGGTGTGTGTGTGTGTGTGACTGCGTAACTATGGGATCTGTAGGACTGCAAGGCTCTATATGCGGTCTATATATATATATATATATGTGCTTTTGTGCTGGTGCATTCGGAATTGAGGCTTTGGGGTTTGGTATTGCACGGGTTTTTACAAGCACGTCTCGGATTGATAAGGCTTTTCGGGGCTTGGGAATTAGGACTCCGCTGTTTTCTAGGTTGCTTTATGTTTTTCATGGGCTCGATTACGGGTCAGAGCGGTTTGGATTCTGGGTTGTTAGCGTGTCGTCGCCCAGAGGCACAACATAATATCGGGGCCTCAATAATTAGAATAGGGTTTGGGGTGCCCAGTATAGTATAATTATAACAAGAACCCCCAAAACCCTATTCTACTTATTAAGGCCCCTACATTAGCCCCAAAGCACCATCATGCAGTATCTTTAGGCCGAGTCTGAAAATATGAGCCCTCGGAGCTAAACCCTAAACCCTAAACCCTAGGGTTTACGGTTTAGGGCTTAGGGTTTTCACGGGCTGGGTGCGCTTTTCCGGGCTTTCATGGCTTCTCTGCCATGGGTCCACCGAGTCTCTGCGTTCAAACCCCCGAGAAACACAGCGAACAGCACAAGCACAACATAGCCCCGAACACGCCCCGACCATGTACAACTTTGAACTTAGGAAGGTTTCGGGTTTAGGGTTTAGGGGTTCTCCTGCAACGCTTGGCCTGGAAATCCAAGAGCTCCGACAGCCGAGGCGCCTTAATATGGGGGTCTTAATGATGAGAATAGGGTTCCTCTAAAGGGCTCTTAGAAGGATCCATAAGGGTTACTGTAAGGGCTACTATAAGCTATAAGGGTTTAGGGTTCAGCCTTAATAATTAGGATACATAGGGTTTTGGGGCCCACGATACTATAGTTATACTAAGGAACCCCCAAAATAGTACAGGTAATTGCTTAGGCCCCTACATCACGCGCTTTTGAAAGCTTTGAACTGCGTTTCATAGGAGTTAGGATTAGGGGGATATGGAGCCTCTCAATAAGGTCCCTTTCAAGACAGCCATAAGTAAGGTTCAGAAGGGCCCCCTCTAAGGGGGTCTCCCTAATACTACCTAAAGTTTCATGGGGTTTTACTTGGAGTCTAAAGACTTGCAACTTACTAAATCCTGTGCTCTGTCAAGCTGTGCTTGCCTATGCCCTAAGCCGATTACTTGTTGCGAACTTTATTCCAAGACCCCAAAAAAGTCTTAAAGCCTACGAATAGATCCCGGCTATTTAAGTGGTTTAGGATTTTGGGCTTTAGGGTTTAGGGTTTAGGGCTTTGCAGCGAAAGGCCACAAAATTCGTGGCGGGGTAGTTCTCTGAACAATTAGGGTCCCTTTATAGGTCCCCAATATAGTACGGCACCCTTATAAAAACGACCCTAAAAGGGACCCTAATTTAGAGAACTACCCATGAACAGGTTGACAACGCAGTCAAAGCACTTCCACTTGGATGATCAGGCGGAGCGGTAGTTCCACTGATTCTCAAACTAGAATTTAAATCCCATAAGTCTGAGACCCTTCGAACTCTTCATAAAACTTACAAAGCTCTAGAAAAGCCTCGACAGCACCCAGTCACCTGCTTCCCCACTCAAGGATTTAGGATCCATTTTGAGCCCTCAGGAAATAAAAGCCACTGCTCCACTATCCTAGGGGATCTCAAGGTTCAAGCTTACCTACTCTACTACCAAGGTAGCGTTTAGGGTTTGGGGTTTAGGGTTTACAGTTTCGGGTCTACTACTAAGCTAACCTGGCGAGGAGCATGCAAAGAAAGCTCTGCGTTGCCGTTCGTGACCTGCAGCTGTGAAGGTTTAGTGCACATCTATGCCTTCAACCCCAAAACTCGAGGGTACAGGGTATGGTGACATCTGTCTAGTTTTACTAATTGTTCATACTTCTATGTCAGGTCCAAAGCTAAGGGTTCCCAGGATTCTGAGAAGAGGAACGGCAAACGCCGCAGGAAGCAGGCAGCGGGTTCAACGGCACAGGGACAAAGTCAAGAGGCCCCATGCTTGAAATTCCAAGTCTTCCCACCTTCCCCCTAAACCCTAAACCCTAAACCCGAAATGGCAGAGGCAACACATCAACGTGCCCCTAGCTTTCACAACAAGACCACAACCTCTCCTTTCTCCGAAGTTTCTCAAGCAAAGCCCTAAACTCAAGAGCCCCGGACCCCCAAAAGAAAAGTCAAGCACAGACCTAAACCCTGAACCCTGAACCCTAAACCCTAAACCCTAAACCCTAAACCCCAAACCCGACAGTATTTCCTAAGCCTAATCAAGCCCAGACACACTGCCGATCCTGAGGCCCCGCTGTTTGAGCTCTTTCAGGGTGGGCAGCACGTCCTGGTTCAAACCCTAAACCCAGAGAGCTCAATACCCCCTACTTAAAAGGAATCTACCTTAGATCATTAAGGTTCCTATAGTTTGGGGTATACTCCTTATTTGAGGAGTATTGGGCTCTCGGGGAACCCTAAACCACCGGGTTTAGGTTTTACGGTTTCGGGTTTTGGGCCCAACCCATGAGCCCAACGGCCCGAAGCAGATAAAATTTTGACCCATAGTTACCTGGCTTAGGGTCTACTAGGACCCTAAACCCTAAACCCTAAACCCTAAATGTGGGTCCGGTCTTTGCATGCGGAGCATTGTGTGTAGGAAAGATCGTGGGACTTCGTAATGTAGGGGCCTTAATGATTAGAATAGGGTTTTGGGGCATATTGTATTATCATCATATGGAGGAGCCCCCCAAAATAATATCTGCAATCGGCAATTATTCAGGCCGCTATAGTAGGCAAGGTTTGAGAGATCGTCTAAAGGGCTTTATGACTTGTTCAGTGTGTTCTATGGTGGGCTTCATAGTAAGTGCCCTTCACTGGTGCTATGACGTAGTGAGAACTCCACGAACTAATCTTATGATCCTGCTTCCCACATCACCTGATGCACCAAGTAGGCTTTCTACAACCCGATACAACCGCGATTTAAGGTTTGAGTAGGGTTTTGGGGTTTGGGGGCTCTGCAAAACCTTCACAAAGCCCTAAACCCTAGGGCCTTAGGGCTTTCGCGACCTCAAAGAGGTGCTGCTCCACATCACCGCGCGCAGAAAGGAAGGCGTTCAGTGCTTGCCTGGGCCCACCATTCCGTTGATGGACAAGATTCTGCATGACCCCAATATAGTATAGTACCATAAATCCCACAGTTTAGGTATATAAGGTCATGCAGGAGTTTGTCCATCAACCGTTGCAACCCATGCAGGTCTTTGGGGTTGACAGGGGTTTTAAGGCTTTAGGGCTGGTGTTTCATTTCGACCTAAACCCTAAACCCTAAACCCTAAACCCTGAACCCTGACTGAACCCTGAAACCTAAATTGTACGAGTTGTTACGGAATTGCCAATATAGGCAGCCATTAGATCATTAGGTTGCACAAGAGTTAGCACAAACATGCCCTAAACCCTAAACCCCTAAACCCTAAACCCCAAACCCTAAGCCCTAAACCCTAAACCCCAAAACCATGCAAGGGTAGGAACCCCCCGGGGTGCTTGAGGGAGTAGGGGCTTGAGGATCTTGGGTTTAGGGTTTAGGGTTTAGGGTTTAGGGCACGGCCTTCAGGCCGTAATGCTGGCGCTAGGCCCAAGGCTCGGGGTTCATGTAGGGGCCTTCCCTAACGCTCCAAGGACTCATAGTTTCAGGCTTTTGGGCCCAAAGACCATACTATCTAAGGCTTTTGGGCGATTTTGAGCCTTAGGGGCTTGATAATCAGAATAGGGTTTTGGGGAGTTCCGTATGATAGTTATAGTAGAAAGGAATAGACCCAAGCCCTATTCTAATTGTGAAGGCCTCCATGTTAAGTTTTAAGGCGGTGAAGCATAGAAAACCCTAAACCCTAAATCCTAAACCCTAAGCCCTAAACCGGTTTAGGGTTTAGGGTTTTAGGGGGGGGGGGG